TGAACCAGCCCGCATCCATTTCTGTCTCAGTTTGTGTGGTCGGTGGTTAAAGTGCATCGTGCTAGATCAGAACAACTTCTGTAAACCATTCAGGCATTACAGCACAAAGTGGAAAACTGCATCATCTGAATAAACTTGTCAGGCAATTTTTAGACCAGTAATCATATCACATATTTTGGTTGGTTAGGTCCTGGTTCTGACATGAGGCAAGGTGACATTTGTGTCTAAGGGAGCACCCTCTACGGGAAGGCGACCAGGTGTGTCTAAGTTCCTGGAGCAGTAACTGGCTCAAAATGTCCCTAATTCTGTCCCTAGGAAGCAAAACGATGATTTTGCTTGCCACAAAGTACACTTGTGTCTTTTCCATTTATTTTATGTATTGTGGGGTATTGGCTGGCAGGAATTTGGAAGCTGTATGTGTTCCACCTAGGTTTCTCATGTACACAGTGGGGGGGGGGCAGAGTTTATAACTGATGTGGAAAACACGTGTGTTTTCTCAGAATCTTAATAAATCTTGTTTTGGGTCCAGACCCTTTGTAGAGCTTTGGGTGAAAAAAAAGCCTGCAGTCTTAGGTCTCCATCTTACCTGGTAGCCACATCTCATTATCACCATTACTTCCACTGCCCACTGAGGTTCTAGATCTGGACTGTTAAATGGTGGTTGGGACTTGGTGCTGGAAGAGGTTGGGGCTGATTTGGTGGGGAGACCCTGGGTGCACAAGAATTGATCAAGCAGAATTGTGGATACTATTTATCAGAATGATCAATTTAAACACAGCAGAACATGGCAGGTTAACTTTTAAACTTTTAAGCATACATAAACCTTAACAATCACCTTCACATATTCACTTTCTTTTGGTTTGTTAAGTGTAACGCTGAAATTGTTTGATCGATAAGTACAAATAAACTTGCTCATTCTGCCAGAAAGCTTGTGAACTGATAACTTTCTGCATTCTCTGCCTTTGCTGCACTCTTTGAAGTGACACTAAACTCAGGAGTTGCAAAGTTACATGGTTGTTAAGGTTGAATAAAGACACAGGTCCATCCAGTTCAACCTCTGGGTTTTGTTTGTGTGTGTGTGTGTGTTGGTTGTGACGGACCGCCTAGTATCCCGACTGGGTACCTCTGCCAGAAATCAGCTTCCTCTCCGCTGGAACCCGAATTCCAGTGTCCTCAGCCCAAACCTGCCTAATTATTGGACGGAACCAATATATCAGGACAGACAACTAAACTCCTCAAACGTCAGACAACACGAATGTTGAAGTGAAAACCAAGAACTGATTTTATTGAAAACCGGCTCAGCACATACAGTATACAGTTCTATAACGCAATCAAACATTAACAGAACGCAAACAGACATCCCCTCCCTGATGTCTTAATGAAAGAATAGGGAGAGAGGAGACAAATATAGGAAAACACAGTATCAGCTTCCTCACAGGGGGAACCATTGAATACGCTTGTGTCACTTTTCTCTTGTGAGTACATTACCATTTTTTAAAAGCAAATTATTAAACGATCCTTCACATGGAGTGGGCGCTCTCCTTTTTTGTCATTCTATAAATGTTAAGGTTCCCTGCCTTGTGGAGCTGCCCCAGTGTGATCAGGTGGAATCAATTAAGGAGGAAGGCTTGCTGTGATTCATTTGCGCTGGAAAGATTTTGGATTTACACAGGGGCTAACAAACCCCTATGTGATAGCGTTTGGAGGTGGCAGGTTCTCTTTATGGAGACATCAGGGTTCTATTACACCATTGAAATCTCTCCTGCCCTCCAATACAGATGATCACACACAAGACTGTGCTTGATTGTAGAGCTGCAGCTAACGATTATTTTCAAAATCGATTAGTTAGCCGATTATTAAGTTCGATTAATCGGTTAATCGGATAAACAATACAATATATTTTTAAAAATGGCTCCAGTGATGGACTACTAGTTTGTATTGAGATTGCACTCCATGTCTGTTTACCTGGCATGGGTTTGTGACAGCTCTGAAACAGGAAGCGATGTGAGCCCAGCGCTCCCTGCTTTACTGATCACAGAATGTGTCAATTAGCCACCAACTAGGTGCATTGTTTTCATTCAGTTGGCCTGCTCATAGACTTGCATTGTGAGATGGCACAAGCCAGCCTGTAGCACTGAAAAGGAAGAAGCAGAGCCTGATTATGTAATACGGAAATGTGACTTCCCTCATGTATATAGATAATCACTATCTATGTAGAAACAAGGTTTTTTTTCTCTTTTGTGTTTTTTTAATTAGATTAGGATTAACACATATTGATAAGATTATATAAAGCAAAATATATATTTGCATGGTTAAGTCTAAAAAAGAAATGAATTAAAAAGACTGTACATCCCCTTGAACCAACAAGTCTTGTGCTGTAACTTTTCCTTTTAGTCGGCTGACACAGATGTTCCATTTCCGAATAAATGAGTTGATGTTATATTGGGTAAATGCATCATGCACTGGAAATCAGGAGACCAGTCCACCTACAGATTCTGGATGTCTGTCTCATCTCTGTAGTTTCACATTTCATATCTCTTATCATAGTATCACATGATGACTGATGTGGTGAGCAATCATCCAGGACCACTCTGTAAACGCTCTGCAAATGCCTGTTGTGGAATATTAATGCAGCACGCCGTTGTTTTATTTAAACAGAATTTACCTTGCCAAAGCTTTATTCATAAATAAAAAAATGAGGAATGAATCCTCCATATAAAGCTCAACTCAAAATACAAATGTATTGTTTGGCAGTAAGTAAAATAAAAAAATCAACGTTTGCTGCAATGCTCAACTCGACTCGGCACTGTGCCATGTAGAACTACCCTTTACTCCTGCTGCTGCTTGTCTTCCGGGTTGCATGATAGCCAGTGTCATTCAGCCCACTTCCTGTGCGTCCAACCCACCCGCTGTGAGTGTGTCATGATGCCACCCTGGGCTCGCAGGGCTA